ATACCATGTTTCCTCAGGATTGACCCCAAGGGGAGCAGATACAATGAGAACAGAAGGGGTCCAAGAATGGAGCCTTGTGGGACCCCACAGGAAAGAGGGAAAGAAGCAGAAAAATGATTGTCAAAGTTAACACAGAAACTCCTATCACCCAGATACGAACGGAACCATTCTAGCGCCACCCCTGTAATCCCAACCCAGTGTTCTAGCCGTGACATAAGGATGCTGTGATCAACAGTGTCAAATGCAGCGGTAAGGTCGAGGAGTACCAGGATCACAGACTGACCAGAGACATTCGCTAGCAGAATGTCATTACAGACCCTTACTAAAGCTGTCTCGGTGCTGTGCAGTTGTTTAAATCCTGACTGAAAAATCTCAAAAATTCCATTTACATTCAGAAACTTGGTTAGTTGACTAAAAACTATTTTCTCCAAGATTTTAGAAAGAAATGGAAGTTTTGAGATTGGCCTGAAGTTTGAACAAGCTGCAGGGTCGAGTCCAGGTTTTTTAATTAATGGAGTTACCACTGCATGTTTTAAAACATCAGGGACCACACCTGTAGCCAAACTGCTGTTAATAATGGCAAGAACAGAGGGTCCAGTTGACGGTAGAACCTGTTTAAAAAATGCAGCAGGGATGGGATCAGCAGGGGAGCCTGAGGGTTTCATGGGACCAACGACCTCATTTAAAAATGAGAGTGAGATGGTTCAAAGTGACTGAAGACTGCTGAGCAGGGGACAAGAACTGAAGGGTCGGCTGTGGAGTGTGGAATTGATGACCTAATCGACTCAACCTTTCAACAAAATGCCTGACAAACTTATTACAGGTGTCGACAGAGGCCTCAATGGTGGCAGACTGAGGCACGTTTAGAATGTTGTTAATGGTGCTGAAAAGAATGCGGGGGTTGTGACTGTTTAAGTTGATAATTTTTGAGAAATATTTGTTTTTCTTCTGTTCAACGGTGGTCTGATAGGCTTTCCAACATGATTTTAACATCTCAAAAGACACCTGAAGTTTATCTTTTTTCCATCGACGTTCAGCTCTTCTGCACAGGCGTCTTGCCTCTCGTGTAGTCTCATTTACCCAAGGGTGGGGCGTGCGTTTTCGATTCCTGAGCTTTAACGGGGCGACTGAGTCCAGGATCTGTACACACGCCTCCTGATGCTGAGAAAGCAACTCCTTTGTAGTAAGACCCGCAGAGAGTTCAGAGTCTGAAACAGAATTACCAGCAAAGATGGAAGAGAAGAGTTTGGCGGTGGAAGGGTTAAAAATCCTACAGGGCTTGGGTGTGGGGGGAGGTGCAGGTTCACAAATCAATGAGGTGTTGAATAAAACCAGTTTGTGGTCAGAACAAACAGTGTCACCAATTTCTAAATCAGAAACAGACAAACCATGTGTTAAGACTAAGTCTAGAGTGTGGCCCTGCTGGTGAGTCGGACCAACAACACTCTGCACAAAGTTAAAGGACTGGATGAGGTCTAGAAAGTCCTGAGCTAATGGTTTATCAGGGCAGCACACGTGGATATTAAAGTCACCTAAAATCAAAACCCGATCATATTGGAGCAGAACACCAGTTAGAAAGTCAGATAGTTCATTTAAAAACTGGTTATGGTATCCGGGGGGGTCTGTAAAAAATAGCACACAGAACTGGGTTGGAGCAGCCCAGCTCACAACAGAGCAGTTCAAAACTCGAGTAATTAGCTGAACCATGGAGCTGTCTGCAGTGCAAATGTTTCTTAAAAACAGCCAATAATCCTCCACCACGACCAGTTGTCCTTGGAGCATTGAAAAAAGAACAATCCAGAGGCAGTAATTCCAGAAAAACACTGAACTCACCAGGGCCGATCCGAGTCTCAGTGATGAAAAGAAAGTCCAGTCGGTTGCAGAAGAAAAAGTCTTTCAAAATAAAAGTTTTATTAGCCAGCGATCTGGCATTTATCAGGGCCATCCTCGTAGAATCCACCACAGGAGGAGATGATTGCAGTGTCCAGTCCAGCGGTCTCAGATTTGCAGAGTTAGACGCGCGCCTCCGGCAGGAAACCCAGCCGCGCACGGGCCCAGTGTGATGATGGGACCCCGACAGCGGGACCCCGACAGCGGGACCAGACAGCGCGCCACAGGATCTGTACAGCGCCAGGAGCGGAGGTGGAAACGCTCACCATCAGCTGGAGAGGATGATTCAGAGGCAGCAGGCAGGGCTTTAAGCTTCACCAGCCGGCCAGCGCGTTTTCCACGGCGTCTGGAGCGACGTCTCCGGGGAGGCAGGAGCGCGGCTCGCTGCAGGTAAGTAGGCACGTCTGCCAGCAGCGGGGGGACGGGTGTGTGGGTAGGTGGGGGTCCAGAGTTACGCTTGTATTGATCAAAATAAGCGACATTGGTGCCACAAAGTCGAAGATCCAAAAGTTGTTTTTGTTCATACACCAGCAGAGCGTTGATGTCACAGATGAGAAATGAAAAAACACCAAAAATACGAACACCATCAGCAGAGGTGGATTGCACGCCATGTACACAGGCGCCATTACTGATATTTTGTATCTGCGAGAGTTATTCTGAAATGTTACAAACAACAGTTGGTGCAAACAGGGCTTGATTGGAAGATTTTATTCTTAATATGTTCTTAAAAAATGCTACAGAAGTTGTTAATAGTAATAAATAGTAATACAATGCATATTTTGAATGAATGATACAAATGTGTTAATTCCTACAAAAGCTGTTAATAAAATATTTATAAAATACAATTAATTTCAACTGTTACTGATAGAGATGAACATAAAAGAAATGGTAATTTATGTTTAAATATCAGTTTTCTGCTGTAATAAGTCATTCATTATGCCCCCTTTGTGTAGGACTGGAGCCAATCTCAGCTGTTTTTGGGTGAAGGCAGGGGACACCCAGGACAGGTCTCCAGTCTGTCCCAGAGACAGACAAAGAGACAAACAACCATCTACACTCACAGCTAGGAACAATTTAGTCACACAGAATGTGTTCAACATAATGGTATTTCCTCCAGTTATCTAAAAGTCAATAATGGTGTACCACAAGGCTCAGTCTTAGGACCCACCCTCTTTACAATCTACATAGGTAATGTAGGTCAAAGCATCCCTGATGCATCCTTACAGTTCTATGCTGATGACACAGTTGTTTATTGTCGAGCTAAAACTGTTGCTAAGGCTTTCCAGCTTTTGAATTCTGCATTCAACATCATCCAGACTGATTTGTTCTGAAGCTCCCAACTTTGACCTCTCTAAGTGGCTTCAAACATCTGTTAAGTTCCTACAGACATGTTCCTGTTTTTAGTTTTCTACATCGTTTTATAATCTAGCTGTTTTTTTTTGTTACATTTTTTAATACCATTTTATTTTCACTTGTTATTCTCAATATGTACGCATTCTTTATAATTGTCTATTGTTGTCATCACTCTTTGTTAAATCAGGTCTCTCTTGTAAATGAGTCCCTGAGGCTCAATGGGATTAACCTGTAGAAATAAAGGTTGAATGAATTCAAAACTGTGATGGATGCATCATTTAGCAACGATTTCCTTCAGTTTGCAAATGTCACGTTAAGTCTTTTGTGCAAAAAACATGACTTTTAATCAGCCAACATTCAGATTTCACAGCAGAATGAACCCATCGTTGCCTCCATTACAGCTTTCAAACATTTTGATTTCTTTTTGCCGCTTCGACACATTTCATGTGACGTTACGACGATGATACTTTGAAGTTCAAAAGTAGAAACATCCTTCAATTAGGATCAGTTTACTGACTCGATCTGAGCCATCATTGTCAGGATTTGTCTTTTCTGTGTGAGCAGGAGTTGACAAGCCAATGGCTGCCTTTTCCCTGAGCTGCAGTCTAACAATCTGAACCGACATTGAATTATTAAATTATTTAATTATTATAATGTTTAGTCAACAAAAACATGAAGAAAATGGCCTAAGACGCTGCTTTAGTTTAAAGCAGTAAATTGTAAATTTATGATGAAACACAGAAATGTACAACTTTACTTAGAATCAAATGTATCAGATTATCATTTTAATCAGATTATTTTAAAGAGAAGAAAGGTCTCCTTTAATTTTCATCCCCCCCCCCCCCCCCCCACACACACACACACCATCCTGCATTAACCATAAACATCATCATCATAAATAAAACCAATTTGCTTGTTTGAATCTGATCAAAATAAAAGTTTGTGAGAAACACCAAAACAGTGACAACCTCAGGCGAACAAAAACGCACAATACACACACAACAGACACCACAGACACACAACACACACACAATTGGTTGCATCGAGTCGTTATTAAGCAGAAACCGGTTCCAGTCCTAGTCCATGACTTCCTTCAGCAGCAGAACCTTCGTCTCGTGGTTGTGGAAGAGTTCTGGCCTACTCTTCTCTGATACTCCCTCAACATCTGGAATGACCACTGGTCTGGGTCTGGGTTCCTCCTTTTCACCTGATGGCTGACTGGAGTCCTGTTTGGGTTTCTTCTCTGCTTTCAGGAAGGCCCAGTTAGGATATCCACATTGCTCTAGAGCCTGTCTTGAATCCCAGCCAGGGACCATTCTGGGTGGTTTGCTTGTTCTCTCCATGCTGCATGGGTTTTCTTCGGGTACTCCAGTTTCCTCCCAAAGACTAAAACATGCATGTTAGGTTGAATGGTAACTCTAAATTGTCCTTAGGTAAGTGAGAGAGTGAATGGTTGTCTTGTTTGTCTCTATGTGACCCTGTGATGGACTAGAGACCTGTTCAGGTGTCCCTGTGATGGACTGGAAACCTGTCCAGAGTGTCCCTGTGATGGACTGGACACCTGTCCAGAGTGTCCCTGTGATGGACTGGACACCTGTCCAGAGTGTCCCCCACCTCTCGCACAGTGACTGCTAGATATGGGCACCAGTGACCCAAAAAGGAAGAAGCGGGTAAAGATGGATGGATGGATGGGTTTTTGCCCCTAAATGAAGTTAAATCCCCACTTTGAACCCATGGAAACACGTTTGTCCACTCACCAACAGCCAGGTTAGCGATGAAGAAGTTTGTGACGGTTCGTAGCGTTTTGAAGCGATAGATCACATAGATGACCAGAGAATTACCCAGAACTCCCAGCACAATGATGGTGCTGTAGGCAAGGATCAACACCACCTTCAGACAGAAGCAAACCGCTGTTAGCAGAGTTTAATCGTTAACCCAAGTGAAGACTGTGGGTAAGGGAGCTGAACCTTTACCTGAACGCTGAGCAGTCTAATGGGGTCCTCAGGAAAAACCCCGCCCCCTCCAAACCCTGTGGGCAGAACCGGAGGGGGTATGCCAATATTTAAGCCATAGTCATTGTCTGGCAGAGGCAGAAAGTGTAGCTCCTCCTGGGAGGTGTTGATGATGCCGACGGCCTCCATGTTCGGTCACACACGTCCAGACAGCAGATCCATTTTACAGATGCTCACTCACCTGTTGACAAACAAAACAGGGGGTAGGGAGGTAAACATCAACTAAAACTAAAATCAGAAGAGCTGCTGAGAGCTGAACACCTGCTGAAAATTGCTGATGAAGATAAACCTGAGCTGGTAAACCCATAAGCAGTGCTTAATTTGAGCCGAATCCTGCTGGAACAAGATCCAGGAACTCTCTCATTTTGACCGGGTGCATTCCAGCAACTGTTTGCTCAGATCTGGCAACTCAAATCTCCACCCCTAAAAGTCCAAAGTCATCGCACATTTTTATTTTGATTATTTATGAAAAATACAAAGGGAGGAGATGCTGCCCAGTCTGTGGAGTGGATTACGGCTGCAGCAGGCGCACCAGCTCACGTGCACACTCCTGCCCAGCAGAGATGCAGATGGCGAACATCACCTGGTGATGAGCGGCTGAGATCACGTAGGAGCTGTGCAGCGTAAGTAAATGACAAAATTCAGGTAAGCCAAACAAATTAAATTAAAATAAATTAAACTCAGGTAAAACATTCGAATACATTAATATTTTTCATAAATTTTTTGTTATTACTAACCTGTGCTTTTTTGTTTCAATAAAACAAACTGGACGAGGAGACGTTGGACAGTCTTGAGAGCTACCTGGATGCGTGCTTTGAGAATATAGTGATGGGTAAACCTCAGAACACCGCGCCCACCGCTACTCCAACATCCAAGCGCACGCGTTCGGAGAGCTCAAGCGGCGCATCCACGTCTCCTGAGAAAAGCTTCACCGATGTTCTGGAGTCCATCGACAAAAAGTTATCAAGTTTAGATGCCCGACTGGCTCTCGTTGAAGCTCTCCACAAAGAGTTCCAAGCGTTGAGGGAATCTCTGGAGTTCAGCCAAGCTCAGGTGGCGGCGCTAGCTGCAGAAAACCAATCTCTGAGGGGAGACGTTAAAGATCTCACAGAGAGGATGACGCAGATATCCGGAGAAAACAGGAAAATGAAAGAGTCCATCCTGGACCTTCAAGCTCGGAGTATGCGGGATAATCTTGTCTTCTCTGGGATCCCTGAACGAGGTGAGGAGGACGCAGAAGCTACGATCCGTGAGTTTATCCAACGTGAGCTGAAACTCCCAAGTGAGACCGTAAAAAAGTTCACTTTCCATCGTGTTCACCGGCTCGGAGGTAAGAGGCCCGATAACAAGCGACCTCGCCCAATTATAGCTAAATTTGAGCATTATAAACAGAAAGAGCAGGTGAGAAGTCAGGGCAGAGAGCTGCGTGGGAAAGATTTCAGCGTTAATGATCAGTTTCCTAAAGAAATACTCGATCGGAGGCGAGTTTTATTTACAATCAGGAAAAATTCATGTCTGAGGGCGCCAGGGCTACGGTGGCAGTAGATAAACTTTATGTTAACGGTCAGCTGTTCAGGGAACGAGACATCACTCCATGGCTTTATTAAAAGGAACAACAGCTTGGTTTAAAGCAGGGCTGTTCAATGTATGACCCGTGGGCCAGGTCAGGTCCACGGATGGGCCAGGTTCGGTCCAACT